TTCAAATTCTCTCTTCCCCATGCAACTGACTATAAAGCAAGCTCAGTGATAAAACCCTCAGTGCCTACAAAGGCTTTACTGAGTCCCAGGTACCACAACACCTGACCAGGTACTAACCAGTGACGTTATACATTAGAATGGAAGAAAAGCTGCAATTGACTGGGTGGCAGCTACCAGGTAGAAGCATAAATTAACCTGAACCATTAAAAAGAGGTCAGACTCACTGGATTGTTAGTGGAGGAGAACAGGTAGCAGTTACATGAGACACAGACATATGGAAGCTTGAAATTTCAGCCACAAGTTACAGAAGCTCAAGGTTACCAATCTAGTTGGTTTCTGTCTTCATGAGGCTTTGCCAGTTCAGATTAGCACCAGCACATTCTGGTTTGATGTATGTTTTCTGCCAACAGAAGAATTCTGTATTGGAGTTGCATCAATTGCTTCTACCAGGTTACCACTGAGTGCTCACCCTCTCTGCCAGGACATGCCACAGTTCCTGCAGTACTTTTACCCATTACAGACCTTTCACAGGCCCCTGCCCATGGCACAGGCAGATGGGCCAGCCTGCTGCAGCTTCCACTGCACAGATAGGAAGCAATAAGCAGACTGCCCTGTCACACAGACTGGGACATTACAGGGGATGGGGGGCATCACAGCCTTCCCAGAAAAAGGGCAACAAAAAGGGGATCCACTCAACTCCCCTGTTGAGCATCCCCAGTATACTATACTGTTGTTAGCTTACTAGGAGTGTTACAGTTGGTCAGGGCTACTCATCAAAAGTCCTATTCTTCGAGATGAAAAGCTGTATCCCCACCAAGCAGCAGTCAGTGCTGCTAGTAGTCATCACCTCTGTGCAACTTATCTGTGAGCTCCCAAGCAACAGCAAGCTCCAGGGACAGCAGATCAATGCTAAACTTTGTCTCTATCATGCTGATGCCGTTTAGCACCTAGGCTTATACCCAACTGGAAAGGAACTGTAACTGGTATGAGGACAAGCTGTCAGTCACTTCCTCTGAATGACTGTCTTCCTTTGGTTCCTAGGGTACAGAACCTCTCCAAGTTATTTTAGATCTCCAGCTGTTGCTTGATCATATTACAGCTGTAACCTAGTCAACCAAAAGCAGATTATAAACTGACAGCAATGCTTGTGGCCTTTTAAACATGAACCATACCACTGATACTGCTGCTCAAGATTAGATTCCTACAGCACATAGCTCATGGCAAGACTACTAAAGCTATGCAGGGACTACTGCACAATCCCATGGCTAGTTTGGAAAGCACCACATCTTCTCTGAGCATTGGGATCATCCTGTCAGCTTCCACAGAGAAACACACGACTGGCAGAGCCAAAAGCTGTCCAGGCAGCCTCTAAACTGGCTGGTCCCAAGGTTTCTAACTAAAAAGGAGGATAACTTGTGTCCATGTAGCCAAAACAACAGTGAGGGCATTTCAGATGGCTGGAGGAGGTGAGCCTGCACGCCCCTGCATTTGAAGGGTTTGACTATTTCTAGCACATCACGAAGTACAGCTTTAAGCTCCTGTGGGGGTCTGAAAGGCTGTATCCCATGAAGGGTTACAGCAACTATTGTTTACAGATGAGCAGGAAATCAATCCCACACCACGCTGCAGCTCGTGTTTTATCATACAGTTTGTACTCATGTGCAGGGCTCTGTTGAGGAGACCTCTGAAGGTTCAGGAAGCATAACAAAGGCAACTGGCTATCTAGAAGGCAGAGCTTGGGGTTATTTCTTAAAAGTTCCAGATTCTTCAGACTTCTACAGAAGGGGGAGGACACTTCTGGTGTTCACTGCCAACAGTAATGGGCTTAAACCTCCTTTGTTTGCAATTTAAGTTCAGCATCTAACAAGACACACATTTCTTGCAGTGCTTAATTAAGCACATGGAATCTCCTTAGCCAGTGTTTAAGACATTGTGCATGTGTTGAGATTCAACAGGAACAAAATACAAGATCAATTGAAGTTATCCCTGCTTCTAGTAAGAGGCTGAACCAGACTCCTTCCTGAGGTCTCTTTCAACTTAATTTTTTCTTTACATCACTTGGGTGATTGAAGTCAAGAGAACAGCACTAACATCACACAATGAGGTTGTCTGAGCCTTAAGCACTTGCAACTGGGGCTTAATAATGATTTACTAGTTATCTGGACAGCTTCAGCTGCATGTCAGCAATACATGGTTCTTCTAATGCTTCAGAGATCAAGTGTATTAAACCACTGTCCCCCGCTGATCACAGAGTTAATTTTGCTGTCACCAACTTTAACATTGCTGTTGTGTTCCTAATTGTGACATTAAATTTGGAGACTATATCAAAATTAAAAACCCCACTGAGCTAAAGTGAAAAGCAGGGTTTGTCCTGTGAAGTTTATAGCAGCACTTTAAGTGAGCAAAACAATGTATTCATTCTCTACCTATTTGTAACTATTACTCCTTAGGCATGCCAGTTAATCAAAACTGAACATTAAGAGAGCAATAAACACAAAAACTAGCAGAAATCTTACACAGAGCATGTACTTTCTCACGTCAAAAAGCACTTCAAGCATATCTGCCTTTGAAACACCACTGAAGCTATGAGAAACCATTTCTACTTGCTGCTGGGTAAAGGTGAAGACCTCCTTGCACAGAGTAGAGGAATGGCAACCTCTCACTTGCTTTGAGTGGAACACTAACAGAAATAGCTCTGTTTATACAGTTAAATAAACAGCTATGTCCTTAGGGGGGTGGAAAAGGGAATTTGTTAAAGCTCACACTTTTAACTTCAGAATACACACTAACAGGTGTCAAATAATAACCTGCATCACATAAATGCCATTATACTGAATAAATACTGTAGCACAGGCTGCCTTCAGGATAGCTGAGAATCAAGCAAGTCAGCGTCTGCAGCCAACAGATAATGTTTCAAAACAAAAGATGCTTTGTTTGTGGACAACCCTGATGGGTTGCTGAAGGCAACACAGAACGAAGAAGGTGTGAACTTCCCGGAATAGGGAAGAACAAAACACAGGGAGAAAGCTGATGAACATTAGCTGGAGTAGCCAAGCTGGACATTAAAAGTGCAGAAACAAGATCTTATCTGAGAGACTACACAAGATAGGGCAGGCTTTTCTAAGAGTAAATACAGCAGTTCTCAACACAAGTGACAACTGAATCCAAATGACACCATTTAAGCAGAAGATAAGGATCACCATTTCTATAGGGAAACAAGATGCAAAGCTTTGATGAGCAGCCTGCAGGGTAGGAAGCGCCAGACCCACGTGCGGATGCCCACAGCGTTCTGCACACCAGCTCTCAGCCTCCCCACCGGAGCAGAGTCCAGTTATTGATCCCGAAAGGAACAAAGGTACATCGACAGCAACTCCGTCTTCCCCGGCGCTCCGGCGCTGGCCTGTGGCCCTGCTGGAGCCGACCACCGACACACTGCCGGGCATCCATGCACAGACAGGGAAGGGGAGCTAAACCGCGAGCAGCCGCACAAACCATCACCTTCCTGGCGCTGACAATAGCAACAGAAGCCGGCATTGCTGGCAGCCCTTCTGCATCAGAAGGATGGCAACTGCCTGTGACAACCAAGAACCCCGCGGGCCCTGCGAGGCACCGCAAGCCCCCGTGCTCGGCCCCGCATCGCGGAGCGGCCTCGCAGATGCTGACTCACGGAAAGGCAGCAGCGCCGAAAGCGCGGGGCTCCGGCCCCACCACCCCCAGGCTCGGGCCGCAAGCGCGGGATGAGCCCCAGGCCCCGCCACAGCCGCTCAAGGCGGGCGGGCTCTGGCCGCCGCTCGCCCAGGCCGGGCTCATTGTTCAGGGCACGGAGACGGCAGGCGAGGCGAGGCGAGGCGGGAGGGGGGGGCTCCCCGCGTCCCCTCAGCGAGCCGCGGGCCACGGCGCCAGAGCCAGCCTAGGCCTGCCCGCACCCCCCCCCCCGCAGCCGCCTCACCCTTGGCCAGCGCCACGGTGGAGTTCTCGGTGTCGATGGTGTAGAGGATGCCCTCATAGCGGATCTGCGCCTTGGAGATCAGGCTGATCTTGCTGCCGATGTACGGCGTCCCCGAGCTCATGGCGGCGGCGCGGCCGGGCCGAGGGGCTGTGCCTGAGGCAGGAGGAGGCCGCGCGGAACCGCCGCGCACCGAGCGCAGCCCGGACCCCGCCGCGCCGCCTTATGTGGGGCGGAGGGAGACGGGCTGCGGGGCGGGGGGGGCAGAGCGCAGCGGGGGTGTGCTGCGGCCCTTCCGCGCATGCGCCTCCGCTGCCCGCTATTGACCAGACGGGAGCCCGGGTCAGGCGCGGGGGGAAACCCGCGTCACGTGACCGTCACAGGCGAGGGTGCCACGTGCTCTGCGGGCGGGGGCGGGGCCTAGGAGGGGAGGGGCGGGGCGGGAGGTCTTGGAGCTTCCCGCGCTACCGCGGCTGAGGGGAGCGGGGCGGGAGCGGCCGGTACCGGGTCATGGCCGCGCTCTGCTCCTGGCATTGCCCGGCCGTGAGCTGCTGCCCGCTGTCACCCGGGCGGCGGGGCTTTGGTCACACCCCGCGGAAAGGAAGCGGAGAGGAGGGGATCGCCTTCCAGCCCCCCCGCCCCGAGCCGGGCTCTGACGGGAGCTGTTCCCGCCCTGAGAGCCGCCGGCCGCCTCACCTCACCGCGCTGCCCGCCAGCCCCGCTGTGAGGGCGATAGTTACGGCTGCCCCCGAGCCCCTTCTCCTCCCTCCGTGGCGGTGGAGGAGGCTGGTTTGGTGCTGGAAGAGCCCTCGGTGCACACTGAGGCTCGCCCCGTGCCTTTGTTCAGCGGGCGAGGTGGGGTGGCGGCAGGTGACACTCGGGCAGAGGCACCGCAATGCTAGGCCGCAGCTGGAGTATGAGGCGTTCAGTGCGGCGTCTCCTGGGATTTCGCCGGCGCCGAAGCCATCTGCGGGTCAATGAGAACCAACCGGTGGTGTCTGGCAGACAGGGGTGGTGGGAGATGGAGTCGGTGACCACCCGTGAGGGTGGACGGGGATCAGGCAGGGCAGGGTGTGCAGATCTCACTCATTCGTGTGACGCAAATGAGCAACATTCAAACCCAGCAGCTGGAGACAATGCAGCGGGAGCCATTGTCTGAGTGCAGAGAGGTTCACTGAGCGGTACGCGCCTTGGTGACGTGTACAGCAGTGATACAGCAGTGACCTGGTAGTCTGCAGTCCACAGGTTTATCTTCATGTCGTAACAACCTGCTTCCTTGTGCGCCAATGCCCGGAGAGCTGTTCTCCAGATGCCCCAAGCTGTCCGCCCTGTGACCCTAAGCATTTTATGGTGCTACTCTTTATGGTGTTTACACAGCTCGGAGAGCAGAGCTCCCTGTCTGAGCAGGGAAGACTCCTTCCTTCTAGCTCTTACAGACACACGTGTGCAGTCTTTTGTTAAATTTTCATTGTTCTAACATGGAGAGAGTTGCTGAAAAAAAACAGGGTAAATTATTTCATATATATTAATTGGACAAAGAGTATTTTTTTAATAAGAAGGTCAGCCTTTAAAGTGAATCTTTTTACGTATTTAGCTCAGCCTTAAGCGTAACATACCCAGAGCAAGAAAGAATTCCTTTTCTACGGCAGTGAACAGTTCCCTTTAGCAGGCAAATTAATGGTTAGAAACTTCCCTGATGAAAAAAACTCATGTAGCTCCCCTGTGTGCAGAATCTCTAGTTTAAACATGTGGAAGAGTTCAAATGGAGAGAAAATAGGGGAGGGAACCAAACAAACTGAAATGTTCAGTTTCAGGCAGTTGTAAATAATTACTTTGAATGGGAAAACCAGTATCAGTATAGGCAATGCCAACAAAGGTAGAGAAGCAGTACTCCCTCTTTTAGTTTATATTCTCCAATTCCACAACAGATTTAACTGCTTATTTCCACTCTTAAAATATATCTTGGAAATGGTAAATGGGTCTTTCAGTTCAACTCATTTGTTTCTTTACGCACACCAAAATGTCACTGATTCGTAAGCACCTCTAGTTCCAGTGCTTTGTTCTGTATCCAACAAAAGGTATTATGATTGTTTTATCCTTTCTTTTTTTTTCTTTAACATCAGGGAAGACAAAGGGACAACCCCCCACACAATACAGCAACGTGGAGTCTGCAGGAAAACTCAGTAAAGCAATGTGGAGAAAGAATACTCCAAAGTGGCATGAATTATACACTGGTGAGATATGCAAACATACGGATTTTTTGTCATAATCATCATGGCCATAAATCGAGCTGCATCTGGAAGAGATTCTTGTAATGGATTTCCTCGGTATCTTTTGTTTGACAACAGTCAGAGATAACAGGTGATCAGCAAGAAGAAATATGACACCTGACATTTTAAATGCCCTCTTACTGTTATTTATTCTGCTAAAAAATAGTTCTTCATCCATTAAGTGCTGAAAAAGGGGAATGAAAGAGCATCTTTCACTGAGTGAATTCATGACAAGTGTGCAGGCCCAGACATCCCTCATATGAACAGGGAATATTTGGCTTCATATTAAGAAGCTGACTGCAGTTCATCATGGTACTAGGAAGAGATGCAGCAATGATAGCAGCAGGCAGAGCTTTCACAGAATAGCATTTTAAACCACTGGTCTTTGGGTACAGTCAGAGTATGTAACTACATAGCTAGTTCATTTTCAAAAAACCTATGTTGCCAGAACTAAGGAGACACCCATGGCAGCTGCAATGCAGCTAGTGGCATTTGGGATGCTCACGTCTCATGACATTTCATAACAGTTAAAGGAACCTGTGACTTCCAGCAGTGATGAAAATTTGTGGGGTGTGTGATGGTTGAGACAGCACTTACGTGGTGGCTGATGGCCATATCCATGGCGAAGTGAGCTGAACTGACACAACTGGCAGAGTTAATGACAGGGGGCAGCTGCTGGAAATACCTGTAACAAGCTCTAACTCCTGGAAGAAGTGAGACAGGCGCTGGCTGCTGAAGCATCGCTGGGGGAGAGTGGGATATGTTTGCCGTTGATAGCAAAGAAGAGAAGACAAAAGAGACTAGCATGGAGAGGTGAAAGTGGAAGAGGGATTTGAATTCGGGTGTGGCAAACAAAACAGATGATACAAAGGAAGGGAGAAACATTTAAGCCCTACAGGAAGAAAAGTTAGAATCAAACCAGTAGTTCCAAAGAAAAATGTGGTAGCTGCAGGGAAGGAGGGGAAGGTCACCAAGTGCAGAACATGATTCTGTAGTGGTGTGGGGAATGGGCAGTAGAAAAGAGCCGAGGAATGAAGGAGGGATTAGAAAAGGTTGGAGAAACTGGAAAGATTTTTCAGACAAGAAGGGGAAAAAAAAGAGCCATCTATGTAAGTATTTTTATGCTAAATAAAGAAAAGCAGAGGAAGTAGAATAAAGGAAAAAACCCAACATGTAGTCAACTGAAGGAAACTCAAATAGAGGGAAAAAAGAGGGAAGGAGAATGGAATAGGGAAAGAAACAAATGGAAACATGAGTAAGTAGGGAGAAAAAGAAAACTTGGTAACTTTTATTTAGATGTGTGCTTCATACAATTAATTTCTCCATTTCCCACAGTCTAAGAAAAAGAGCTACAATGGCATAAGTAGGAAATAGTGCTTCAGTACACTGGTTTGTCTGGCAGCTCAGGAAAAGGGGATCTCTGCTGGAAAATAAACCCCAAATCAATAGGTGTTGCTTTCTTTTTCATTCCAGAAATAAATACAGAGTTTGTAATACCTGTAATACTGCTCTGTTCCCTCTCCCCTCTCTTTCTCTTCTTTTCAGTTTTGAGTCTGCCTCAGACATTTCAATTTTGACATCTTTCATTCCACCCCCATACATCAAATTTAAAGTCAGTTTTTAACTCCTGGATTTAAATGAAATATTTTATAAAGTGTCATAGTTTTAGGCTTGTGTGGGATTCACTGTCTTAATCAGTTCCTGCACTGTCTACTTAATGGAACTGGCTTAATTCTGCATTATTCCATTGCATTTCTCAGCAGTCCAAGTGTGCTGCACAGTCAAGATAAAACATCTTTTACCAATATGGATGCAATGGCAGAGAGCTTAAACTTCTTTTCCAGACCCACAAAGTTTGTCAGTGTCAAAGCAAGACCACAATTTTGGGCATTGCTGGTTATTTCCATGCTGTAACTATATGGAGTACAAATACATACACAGTCTTTACAAGATGTCAGTATCTAACATTAAGCTTTACCTATAGGGGTTAAAAAAGTAACATTCTGAATTGCCCACTAGATTTAACAGGCTCTTAATCTATGCTTTTTAACCAGCTTTACTATAAATACACTCACATTAAACTAGTGTATCTTTGTTTTCTTGTTGATGTGTGCATTCAATACCACTTTTCAGACTGTAGTCAGTTTACTCTCTTCCATGCTAAATCAGTTATTTTCTATGGGGAAAGTCAGTTCTTTGCTGTGATGCAAAATGATCATTTCTTCTTGTATTTGTGAAATCCAGTGCTAATATTACAAAGAAAATATGGAGACTTTTTTCTATTTGTGCAGCACTTCCATGTGGAAGATTCAAATTCCCATGTGGGGATTCAGATTACTAGTCTGGCATCTAAACTCTTCAGTTGTTTAAATCAGGTTCAATATATCAGCTTAAATCTGTGGGCTAAGCCAACAGTGCCATCCTGACCTGCCTAGTCTTTGCTGTTTGTACCTCAGGAATCTACAGGGTCTACTTATGAAAGTTGTGCTTGATTACCTGAACCTACAGAGGTTAGAAATCACTGGGACACTTTTGATGCAACAGAGTAAGCAGGGAGCATACATTCACTTATTTTATAAAACTGAAATATCTTGGACATGTATAACATCTCTTATTAGAATGAACACAAACTGCTATTCCAGAGTTTTCCTGCTCACATCACTACGCTACAGGCACTGCTTTAAAAGCTGTGAATATGAGACTAAAAAAACCACACTCAGTATTAGACATAAGACCAAGAACACAAGCCAAAATCCTGTCTGCTCTTGTGATTCATTTAATCTTTGAAGCGTGGGGGGGTGGAGCAGTTAGAGAAGCGCAAATACCTTTTATACTGAGGCTTTCTGAATCACAAAGGGCAAGGTGAAGTGATCCTGGCTAACGAGGGGGTCATTTATTCACGAATGTGGAAGCTGGAGATAAATTTAAAAGATCCTTTTATGAAGACAGCTAAATGGACAGTGGATGTGATACAAAAAAAGGTTGACAAAGCTGGAGTTTGCAGTTGGGTAACAAAAAATTGAAGAGTGAAGTCTTACAAACCAGACCTAGATTCTAAAAAAAGGTGTTTAGGCATCTATCTCCCATTCAAATGAGTAAGAGGATTCAGACCTAAGTTTAGAAATAATTAGGGCATAAAGAGAGATAGTTGTCTATGTAGGACAGTGGGGAGCACTGAACATAGCCTAAAATACCATGTTCCATTAGGAAAAATCTCTGATTTTGTTTTGCTTGTTCTTGGGTAGCATTGCACTGAAGTGAATTGCAATTGTGCATCCTCCTCACAGATGCACTGCTCTGAGGGGATAGTTTCAAAGTGGGGTTTCGTCAAGCTTTTTCAGGTATGAAGTGAGCAAAAGGTGGAGTGAAGAGCGTGCTGAAGGGCAAGTAGGAGATAATTCTCCTAAATGGAGAAAGGAGGCAAAAATTTGTCTTTGAGGGATCAAATGCTGCAGAGGATTAGTCTGCAAATAAAGATTTTGTAGGGTTTCAGGTTCATGCATTAACTAGGAGAGTAAGAATCTGTGTATTTAGCTATGTGCCCAACTTTCTAAGAGTTTCAAGAGCTGCAGAGATAGCCAATGATCTAAATCCACTTGTAGGCTGCAAAGAGGCCAAGTTACAGCTATACTATCGCAACTGACCTACTGGTACACTTCACAGGGGTGTCTGTGGAGGGACTAAGGAGCAGATGACACATTGCTCTGTGGACAGTCTTTCCAGAACAAAATCATATGTTTTGGAGAGTACAAGTTATATTCACTGCATACTTCAGATGTTTGGATGTTGCAGACTAGCAAATTTCACCATTCCCTGTATAGAAATCTATCTTTACTAATTGGGTTTGGCTAAAATTCCAGACAGCTCAATAGCAGTGTTTCTTTAAGAGCTCCTCCTTCGCTCTCTGTACTTCTTTGTCTCTCTACAAATTATTGAACTCATTCAGGCTGTCAGTATTGAGCACTATTTCATTGACACTGGGGCTGTAATGGGGTCGAACCAAGATTCTGCTGCCCAGTTCTTGCTAGTGCAAATTAAATTGTCAGACAACATACATCACCAGGCCGAGAACATGGAGGAAAGAGCTCCTTTATTATATTTTTTAATTCAGAGACCTTATTTGAATTAATTCTCTATGGTGGACTCTGTTCTTGAGCTAAAGAAATGTCCCTCACTTTACCTGTTTTACAAATGAACTGTAGATTCTACTTCTTCCTGTTCAGGTGGGGAATGTATCATTTTACCTGGACCCAGCAATATGCTGTTCCTTCCCTGCATAACACCTGCTGCAGTTGCATAGCTCCAATAGCTCTTGGACTTGTTTTAAAAAGCATGTTTCAGAAATGCCTTTGAGCATGGAATTATTAGTCGCTGGTTTAGGGTGTTCTTCATATATGTTTGTTATTTTGCTTTTTAAATTAAAACTAAACAGGCTTTGGGGTTTAAAGTTTATATGTTCTAATTCAGGTTTTGGGTACAGATACCAAGAAAGGTAATTCATAGCAACAGGATGTTAGTGCACTTTCACAAAGTAATTTCTTTTTGCATGACCATAAACTGGCATTTAATCTCCATCACATTTTAGAAGCTAAACTGTCAGTCTTCACAAAAGACAGCAGTGTCCCTCTGCCTCGTCAGTTCTAACTCATGCTTCTCCTCACTGTTGTATTTGTGTACACACTTTCCACATCCACCTGAAAATGCTGACATTTACTATTCCAAAGCCTTTGTGTCATTTGTACTTCAAACCCCATTTCGCTATTACTTGATGTATGACAAGTGCACTTTTAAACCACAGTTTTCTTCTGTAAAGTAGCCCTAATAATAACAGTTGAAATTTGGCATTTCAGTTTTCTCACTTAATTCATACTAACACTCTCCTTTTCTTTCCAGAGAGTGTCACAGCTTCATTTGTATTCTTCACTTTACTCAGCAGCATCCTCAGCACTTACTGTGCCCGTGACATCACCTGAGAGAAACTTCTAAAGGCTCTGTGGGACATACACTTGCTAGTAAGACATTCTGATGGCAAAAGGTTTGTGCAAGTATAACTCAGAGTGTAAACTGGTCTGAAGAATCTGAATTGTTGTTGATGAAGCAGAAGTAGAGTTGAGGGTGACATTGTGAGCTAGAAAAATATATCTTCTTTTATTCTAAACAGAAAGAAATCTGGTATTTGCATCTGCAGGAGAATGAACTGGCAGCCCAAAGTGACTTAGTGCTGAATAACTTTTCCAATAACTATCTGAGCTGCAATGAGATAATAACGCACCAGGTCTTTAGAGGGCAAGAGTTGGTGATTCAGTCTCTGTGTGATGCAGGTGGCTCCTACTCCACCCACATATAAAAGGGGATGGTGTGGCTCCTGTAAGGACAGATGAGCCTTTGCGATTGAGAAGTTTGAAAGCAGTCAAATTGCAAGAGGCTTAAGGTTCTGTTTTCTGTGAATCCCCTTTAAAGACAGGAAAGCTTTAGGAAGGGGCCAACTGTGGAAATTTGGGTGGAAATGCTGGTGATAGTGCAGGGTAAGAGCTAGCCTATTGTATGATCATATCAACACATGGACCAGAATGCAACTTCACACGGCTTTTAAAGTCACAGGGATGTCATATTTGGTGGGTTCTTGTTGGGGATGAGGGTGTTGCAGAGATGGCTGCAGGCTGCCAAGTTGTACAATTCTACTTAGATGGCTTCATATCAAGAAATAGTAATGAATGAGTAAACTTACTGTACTGAGCAGCCCACTAAACTGTACAGAGTAGCAAAACTAGCTCCCTCTTTTGGTCTGCTGGAAATAATGAAGAGAAACAAGTTCTATAGTTGCATAAGAACAACTTGACTTTCTTACACAAGAACAAATTGTCTATTGCTTCCCTAAGTAATCACCTTTCCTAAGCAAGTTGTGTTTGTTACCTGCCATTTTGTCTGGTCACTAATAAATGGTTGGCGTGCACAGATGGATGGGTTTACTGCCCTTGCTAGAAAATTAAGTAATAGTGGTGTTATACTTCATACTTCATATACTTCTGTGGTAATGAAAGGGTATTGCAAGTAACCCCATACAGACAAAACTGACAATAAGGAACAAGTTAACATAAAAAACTTGGCCTTCCATCCGAGTGTGTCATTTCCTTTGGGCTGGAAGTTTTCCCCATCTTGTATTTAAGAGATAAAATATTTGTCTGACTTGCTTAGAAACTTCTGTCAGCTGTGGGAGCACATCCCATTTTTAACTGAATTAGTGGATTCATCTGGAGTTTCAAAACTAAGCAAAAGCTCATTAAAATAATAGGGGCAAGTCCTTGAACTCTGTCTTCAACAGTGAGAATATATTTTAGGTAGTGTAAGAAAGTATCCTATAGTCTGAAATCACATCCCTAACTATCTTAGACTGCTGGAGATTTCAGGAAAAAACACACTTGTATAATAGTCTTTCATGCTGTGTTTTCATAAAGTCTGAGGCAGCTCACTAAAGAAGCTCCAACATGATGGATTTTAATCAGTTCCTACAGAGAAGTCATTAAAAAAATAAAACTTGGCAAAATCCTGCTTACATACTTCCTGCATTCCAAATCCACAAAATGTTTAGATACAATCTCATTTCATTAGAACCAAAACAAACATTCTTTACTAGATGTCTTTCATTTTTTTCTTTAAATGATGATGTTTCCATACATCTTCTGTCTACACTGGCTTTCCAGTGCAGTGTATTTGTGTCTGGGTTCTTTATAATGCCACTAAGATGAGTAAGGTTGCTCTGAGCATTTGGCAGACTGTGAACTCGAGATGGAGTGGGGAAGATTGTTTAGTGTGTTTGTTATCTGAAGAAAACTTGCAGAAATACTTGCACATGGGTTTATTCTTTCAGTTCAAATCTACAAGAATCTGGATTTTGACCCTTTTGTACCTACACTGAAAGTTTGACCAACATTTTTGTCTGTTTCATTTGGCAATTCTTATTGTTAAGTTAAAAAGTGTCTGCTCAGGAGCACACAGAACTCTCCTATCAAATAACTCCTCTATTTTAACAGAGGGTGCTGTGGGACTATTCAGTGATTTAGACAGGGCAATCCCAGGCACAGGTTGGGCAGAGAAGTGATTCAGAGCAGCCCTGCAGAGAAGGACTTGGGGGTGTTGGTCAGTGAGAAACTGAACATGAGCTACTTCAGTGTGTGCTTCAGCCCAGAAGCCAACTGTATCCCGGGCTGCTTGAAAAGGACCATGACCACCAGGTTGAAGGAGGTGATCCTGCCCCTCTATTCTGCTCTCGTGAGAGAGTTCTGGTGTCCTCAGCATAAAAAAGACATGGAGCTGTTGGAGCAAGTCCAGAGGCCACAAGGATGATCAGGGGACTGGAGCACCTCCCATATGAAGATAGGCTGAGAAAGTTGGGGCTGTTCAGCCTGGAGAAAAGAAGTCTGTGTGGAGACCTCATAGCAGCCTTCCAGTATCTGAAGGGGGTCTACCGGGACGCTGGAGAGGGGCTCATCATCAGGGACTGGAGTGACAGGACAAGGGGTAATGGGTTAAAACTTAAACAGGGGAAGTTTAGATTGAATATAAGGAAGAAGTTCTTTACTGTGAGGGTGGTGAGGCACTGGAACGGGTTGCCCAAAGAAGTGGTAAATGCTCCATCCCTGGCAGTGTTCAAGACCAGGTTGGACAGGGCCTTGGGTGACACGATCTAGTGTGAGGTGTTCCTGCCCATGGGATGATCTTAAGGTCCTTTCTAACCCTAAGTATTCTATGATTCTAAAACACCTTTTGGTGGGGCAAAAAGATGATGATCTGAGAATGCTATCTCATGGTATTGACTGGAAGAAATCAAGCAAGCTTCAGTTCTTTGAGGAGTGCCAGTTTTAAGAGTGAAGAAGCCACCTCTGACCATAGCAGGCTACCAAGCATGTGCCTGGAAGCAACAGACCACTTTGTCCACTGTTTTTTAAATTGCTGGGAAGTGGAGGATTAGAATCTAGAAGAGAAGCAAAGGAAGAAGAGGAACAGTGATCTGCACTGCTCAGAAAGTAAATAGTGAGGATCGGTGAAGAGAGTGTTAGGTATTGAGTGATGCTGGAAAGCTCAAGGAAGAACTAGAACAGCTCTGAATCAAAGAGTCCAGAACTGGAATACCAGTGTATTACCTTTTAGGTTGTTTGTTGAGGTATATTGTTGATAAAACATCCCTGGCAAGGGAATGCTTTGCTCACAGAGAACCACAGAGGAACTGAAGCAAACCCTGCCCAATTCACCTCTCATTAAGAAGGATTTCAAACATATTCTAACAAATCCTGACTGTAAAAATGTGCAAATTGAATTTCCAGTAATGGGCCCCATCAGTAGGCACATTGTCTTGACATATTCTGTCTGAGTATCACTTGGAAATAGTGATTCAATATTGCAAAAGTTAGTCTCATTTGCTGAGAGGGGAAAACATGTTCAGTTTGCCCAGTCAGTTCTAGTAACTTGCTAAATTCAAATTAATGTGAAATTGCTGAAGCTCCTTGTAGTGACCAGAAGGACACTAATCTTCCAATAATATTTTGTTTCCCCCATGATTCATATGGACTTGCACAAGAAATCTCTCAGAAGCTCACAGAGCTTCTGGTCACCTTCACAGCCATCGTTCTGCATGTTTGCTAGTCATCTCCATTCAGAAGATATGCTTAAAGAACTGCTAGCTGCTGGGCTGCGTAGTTGGAAACTTCCATCTTCTTACACAAGTGCTCCTTGTTCTTAATACAGTTCTCTAGCTCTTCCCCCACAGATGACTCTGGATATTGATACTTCCTATCTTGGCCAGCAGTACCAAGCACAAGAGTTAAATTAAGAGCAGTTGGGAAGGAAAAGAGTATCCCACAGTGCTTTTAGACTGTAAAGCCTTGAAGACCTTTAAACAATAATCCTTTATCCCACAGTGTATTCTCTGGGCATCTTCTTTTGGGTGCAGGATGTTGAGCTGCATGGCCTTTGGTATGCCCCAGTACAGCCATACTTAGGGAACTCCCATGTGAACTGCATGTAGCATGTGTTAGTGACAGTCTTCTAACTGGCTCATAAAACCGAGACATTGCCAAGGCGGTTGTGTGCTCAGGTAGCTTTGCTTTTTGAAAATCAAGCTCTTAAGTAGTCTCTAACAGATATTTTCTATGTATTTCTCAATCAGTAACCAGGTATTGTTAAATACCTTGCTTTTATAACGAGGCTATCCTGTAAGCTGACACATATTTATTCCATCATACCTCACTATAATTAAATATGTTTGATGAAAAGAAGAGTTTCTTGGTTTTCTGCTCCACTGCTGGAGCTCCAGTAATGTTAGGCAGCTACAAACACTTAAATAGGTGGGTGGTTTTGCCACAGTTCTATAGCAGCACTGTGTTAGGTGTTCTGTCTGCAACACTGAATTGCAGTCAAAGCGTTGGTGCTTCTGTAGCTGTCAGAGATAGTCTAGTACACATCAGGGTAGACACTGTCCTTAAGTGGAAACAGGAGAGTAGGTAGGTGTGATTATCATCAACTACATAGGGACTGCACAGTTGCTTTCCAAATCTACTGCTCATCTATCTTTCAATGCCAGGATTAAGCCACTTTCCTGGAGCACAGCACACTTAATTTCCAGTATTAATCCCTGACTGCTGGAGGCATTAGATTTCTTCAGGGATTCACCTAAGGATAGCTGAAGTAACCAGGATGATTTTAAGACCAATAAGCAGTATTTTGAGGTTCCAAGGAGAAGACAGCAAAGTCCACAAACTGCAAAGAGGCACTGAAGTTTATTTATCTCCACACACACATCGGTAGTTAGACTGCATTTGCCCCTAAATTCAAAGTAAAACACTTAAACCAGGGGTATTTTTCCTGTGGATTGTCAAACACTTGTATTGCAGATGCATAGGAAGTCTTGCTGGTTTTGCTGAACACTTGTTAGTGCAGACTGACACCTATTTGCAGAAGAATCAGCACACAGACTTTCACATCTACCAACCAGGAGCTTCTACATAGGACTACATCTTCAACCAGGGCACCATTCCTTTGTCTCCTCCTGACACTCTGTAACTCACTGGTCAGTTAAGACTCAGAGGAGCTGTGCAGAGACAACCAAAAGCGACTCTCCTTTCCACAAACCATCTGTAGGCTTCTCTGATACATCCCTTATCACTAATCCATCCTCCTGCCACCTCTGTCAGATGTTCTTGTACTGAATTTTAGGCTAACCATAGCAAACAAGCAGAAAGAGACTTGCATTACCACTTGAGACGGTCTCTATGCCGTGGTCTATATAGGCTAGCTCTCAATGGGGAAAATAAGTATTAAATAACAATATCCTAAAGAAGCAGGTTAAAACAACTGTCAGTATTATGTTTTTCCTGTATAGCTCCTCCTAGCTTTTACTCTTTGGCACTAGAGAGAATCCATACGTGCCTGTAGTGTTCAAGATCTTTTGTTGTAATTGCTGATGGATGAAATAGCATTCACTGTATGAGACTATTTCTACACCAGCACCAATAATTACCAGTAACCCATTATCAGAACTCTTACCCAAGTTGCTCTTTGATACTATTTGAAATGGAAGGTGAGCAGTGAGCAGAGAGGAGCTGGATCCTAGTCCTGAAGAATCCAGCCTGGAAAGTGACTTCCAATGTCAAACAAGAGGCAGAGAGTATGAAAAGATAAATTATTCAGTAATGGATCCTACACACTTACAATGCACAAGTTGTAATGAATCTCAGTTGCTCTTGTAATTTTGTAAAGTTGTTTACCTAATATGGTAGATACACCATATGGTGCACTAAAGAGAGCGTTAGAACAAGGACACAAAGATTTCTATGCTTTTATTTCTAGTTTTGTATGCAACTGAAAACTACACTCAAGCTGTCCTAGAACGCGAGCAGTAGAGGAACAGAGGCTGCTCTGACCCCACCTGCTGCTGCAGCTTGACGCATGTCCTCCCTCCATT